TAGGTACATACGGCAGGAAGCGAATTAAGCACCGGGGTCACGACAGCGAGAGGGCTCGCAACGAGACCGAGCGTGCTCGACCCCGCGGAATCGTGATCGTCGGTTTGGTAGGCTGGAATTCGGGGACACCTGAGAGTACTCAGTCGAGACTCGGAGCACCGGACCTCGTTTTATGTGTCGCCCTAGGAAGTTGGATAGGGTAGGCTTCGTCGAAGGCAGCAGAGAGCCGGAGATAAGACGAAGTGCCGGCTCCTGTCGGAGCGCCGGCTTATATACCGCGGCGCGGCGGGTTCGTTGGAAGGGAGGCCGGCGGTCGGGCGAGCCGCGTGGGGATGCTGACGCGCGCTCGCCTTCGGCGCGGCTCGGCTTTTTCCGGCGGTTCCGAACTTATCGAGCATTTCGCGTGAGAAGCAAACGAAACGTATATCGCAATACATCTGACGGACGGAGACAATTTTTATATTAATCAGTTGGGGGAATCCCCAACATACCGCCCGCCTCGAAACCTTGGTTTCGAAATCGCATCGCTGAACTGACGCGTTGCTCGAGGCGGTCGCTAAGTTTGGGCAATTCGAATAAGTGCATAGGGCACGGTGTACGAAGTTACGCCGGCGCTTCGGCGTTTTCGATATCGATCGGTAACAATCAGATATTTACAATGGGTTGCTTAAAATCGAATGTCGCGGTCTTTATTGTCACGACGCGTATGACGTTATCGCAGCCCGAGTTACAGAAGTGCGACTATGACCCTAAGGTGCGGGATTCGAAACGCGTCTACGATTTCGAGGTGCACGGCGCGCGTGGCCATGCGTATGAATATAGCGATATGCGCTTTAGGAGATATGAGATTCCACGCCCGGACATCGGGCGTACACGCATCGGGCCCGCATAATCCAGAACGCAATGCTTAAACGCGCGCGCAGGAGGGGAGACTCTCACGTGAGGCAGCAGTCCCATAATCGGAATGGGAGTTGCCGCTTTTTCGCGGGCGCATGTTACGCATCGGTGGATTACGGTTTTTTCGACATTTTGCGTGCGCACACTCCACACGGCCCGGCGTACCGTAGCGAGGGTGAGCTCCGTGCCGGCGTGAAGCGACCTTTTATGAGCGTGCTGGACTAGCAAGGCAACTAGGGGGTGAGAGGAGCGGGTGATTAGGTGTTTCGCGGTTAGAGATAGCGGAGCGTGGGCTAACCGCCCGCCTAGGCAAATTAATTGATCTTCTCCGCTGGAGGCGCGGTATTCCGTCGCTAATCTCTTGTCGGCGTTGAACCTGTGGTCAAGACCTCTCAACTGTCGCTCGACTGAGCGATAAGAATGGCCGATCTCGATTGTGAGACCGGTTTGGAGAGGAGAGCGACTCACGTGTCGTCCGTCGGAGCGATGCCAATGAGTGGCGAGGAAGTGAGCGTCGAATTGTTGCTCCTCCGGATTTTGTGAATCGGCGCGAGGGATCTCTTCGATTTCCCTGAAACGTCGGAGTTCCTCGTCGAGAGACGGAGAATTAGAACAGTGCTGAGCCGTGACTGTTCGAGAATGTGTTTGTGGGTAACCCGCGGGGCCAGACAGCACCCAACCGAAGACGGTATTCTGAGCGAGGGGTTTTCCGCGGGAGCCCTTTCGAATGCCATCGAGTAGCACGTCGCCGTACAGATCGGCACCTATCAGTATATCAATGGGGTCCGAGTTCGTAGGATCCGGATCCGCGAGCGCGAGATCGGCTACGTGGCCCCATTGGACGGGCGCCGTTACGGGCGACGGAGTATACTTTGTGAGACTTGGCATAACGGACGCAGTGGTCCTGAATGCGAGAGAGGTTTGGTCGATCGGAGAGATCTGAATTTCGGCCGCGTATCGACATGTTCCGGCGTCGACGCCTCCGATTGCGGAGATCGAGACGGGCATTCTAACGCGACGCAATCTTAAGCCTTGCCTCAATCGTTCGGTGATGAAGGTCATCTCTGATCCTTGATCGAGAAGCGCTCGAACGACGCGAGTACGATCGTTCGGAGATTCGGACGGGGACCCGACTCTTACCCTTGCCGTCGCGAGCAACACGGGAGGCATCGACGACACTTTCGCGCTCGAGAATAATGTCGTGATGGGCGCGGCATCGTGGATCGATGCGGTCGCGACGGAAGTATTTTCCGCGGCAGAAGTATCTTTCGCGGTGGAGGTATCTTTCGTGGTAGAAGTGTCCGAGTCGACGTGCAACATCGAATGATGCCTTTTGTGACATGTGCGGCACGAATAGTTACTTTGACATAGTTGTACGGCGTGTCTGTCGCTTAGGCAATTTACACAGCGATTTGCCTTCTCTACTGTTTCTAATCGTTGACTTGGACTTTTCTTCAGAAAGATTTGACATTTGTTTAGAAAGTGAGATGCTTTACAAAGCGGACACGAAATTGAAGAAACTCCCGATGCTGTAGCGCTGGTCGCCTTCTGCGCGCGAGCTTGTTTGTCTACGTTCGCGGGATGCAATTCTTCGAGCGCGCGAGCACGAGAATCGAGGAATCGGTCGAGTTCGCTGAATGTTGGGATTCGCGCGTCATCCCCACTCTTTAGTTTCCACGCTTTCCGAGTGACGGGATCAAGCCGCTGCGTGACGCTATACATAAGCATGTCGCTGAGAATGTCGGATTCGGAACGATCTAAATTCTTCAGCGACGTGATTGCGCGATTTGCTTTATCCCGAAGCTCGCTGAGTTCGCTCGCTGATTCGCGGGAAACGCTCGGTAAATTATATAACGCGGACACATGCATCTCGACTAATCGACGTTTATTTTCGTACCTCGACTCGAGGGCCTTCCACGCAAGTTCAAAGTTATCCGCGGTTACTGGGATGCTTCGAATAGATTCAAGCGCTCGCCCGGCGAGGCTTGATGAGAGAAAATGCATTCGCGCAAATGCAGAAAGTTCGGGATTTTTAATGATAAGAGACGTAAAGCGATCGCGGAACGTCTCCCAATCTTCATATTTCCCTGAGAATGGCGGAATGTTGATGGGCGGCAGATGCGCCAGTGAGAATGAGGAGGCAGGCGGCCCATGACTGCACGCGGCGCTCGGAGCCTGGTTCGCTGTCAGAGGCGGCGGCGTTGGCGCGAGTGCCTCCAGATATTCGACCATGTAATCCAACGTCGTCAAGTGGATGTCCTCGGCCTGATCGGACAGTTCGCTTTGAAAATAGTCGAACGTGCTTCTTTTCGCTTCCGGAATAACTTGCAAGAGGGCTGAGTGCACGCGAACGCATTGCGTCCAGACTTCTTTGGAGCTAGCGATTCGCGCTCGGACTTTTGCAGCGGTGTAGTTATTCCTTCCGAGTTTTTTGAAGTTATCGAGCGCTCGAGTGATGGAGTGCATCAACACCTGCTGTTGAGCCAGGAGGTCGTTGATGGTAGCTGAGACTTCCGGCACGGCAGTCATGTTAACGGCTGAAGGGCTGCACTAAGTATCTCGATCCGGCTCGAAGGACCAATTTTATGTTCGGGCGCGCAATAAACGCGCCGAACGAATCGCCGAATCCGTTCCGCGAGAACGCGAGATAATTGCGAGTGGCTTCGTTCAGCCCTTTAACTATGAGACGACCGGGGTTTCAGTTAACCGCGGACTCGATCGCTTGTTAGGAAGTTGAGTGGAAGGCCCAAAAGACAGCAATTGATTTATAATACATATAAACTTTATTCGATATAACAAAACGAAACTGACAAAACGCGAGATGTACAGTCGCGGTCATTAATGCCTTCCACCTAAAGTCAGTCGCGTTCGGGGGCAGATAGTAGCTGAACGCGTCGCGTCTAGCGCTATTCGTGCTTTATGATAGTTGGGTCGGTAACGTCGTGGAGCACGGTCAACCGTGTCGTGGAGAGCTGTCAGTCACTGTCAGTTTGACAGCTGTGTGTTTGCGGAAGAGAGGTTAAGAACCACGAGGGATCGTCCAGAAGTATAAGGAGAATATAAGAAATACAAGAACATGTTAATTATTTGAATGCATGGTAAATAATTATTATACGACAAATTTATATTGATATATATAATTTCAGTTATCGCAGCTGAGGCATTAACAAAAAGATTATTGGCCCGATTGGCCGTATCGAGCCTTCCAGAGAATCGGAGTCATACGAATAGAAAAAGAAGAAGAAGAAGAAGAAAATTAGCTGGGACCGCTGGGACAGAGAATGGAAGAAAACAACGATGACTATGAGAAAGGTAGAGATAATGGTCAATGGAGGAGGAGATGCAGTAAGATGATTTAATTTATATTATTTAAGAAATTATTACATTATTAGTAACTTCAAAATACGATTGCAGAACACCAGTGGGAAATATCAGCGTCAGACGATCCGCGCTACGCTTGTCATGCGGCATACTCGCCACGGACTCTGATCAGTCTGATCCATCGTCACCATGTGTCCTCGCGGTAATCTCCATCGCTCTTTCGTTGATAAATTCATCGTTCACCATCTACACGAGGAATTTGGGATACACCAAAGTCATGGTAGGCAAATAAATTGCACAGAAATAGGTAGTGAAAATATGTTTTGTTTCCGCAATAAAATCTCGCTCTCCAATGAATTAGCATGCATAAACTGAAGTAGTATTGTGTGTGTAGAACATAACTAATAAGATTAACTTTTGTTTAGAAAATGTTTATAAGTTTTTTGATTGATTTGATATTATAATTGTTAAAAAAGTTCACAAACTAATAATCCTTAAATAGCAAGTGATTATAATTGTTATCGTTCACGTTGGATAAACATGTGGGCTTTCAATGAAATTATAATTTCTTACAGAGCATCGTCGAGCAAATGGTTCATCACATCTCCGAGGAGAATCCTGAATGGACAGTTGCAGAGAGATCGGCGTGGATTGACAGTCTCCAGGTCTTCGGTTTCAGCAGGGCTATTCAAGTCTTCGGATTAAATCAATTTAAAAAGAGTTGCGCCAAGATATTGAAAGGCTGTAATTGCGTTCTCGCGAATTATATTTCCCCACACAGCACAGTTTCTAAATCCGAAATTGCTTTCTCTTTGTTTGCATCGTGCATCGCGCATCGTGCCTCGCGAACAAATCTCTTTTCTCAAAATAATGTTAAATAAATTGTTAAAATACTGTGAAATACTACTGTTAAATAAATTCTGACAAAAGAAAAAATCTTAAAAAGCGTATTTATTTTCTTAGAAAAATTTCCATGTTACGCAAACTATTTAGTAAAGAAACAGTATAGACCAAACAAAAATTGTATGTATTATTGTTCTTATTTTTGTTTTTATATGGTTAGTGAATAAACTTTATAAAAATGGA